TGTTGATGACAAGGGTGGTGTAACTGACATTGTTGATGACAAGGGTGGTGTAATTGACATTGTTGATGACAAGGGTGGTGTATTTAACATTGTTGATGACAAGGGTGGTGTATTTAACATTGTTGATGACAAGGGTGGTGTAATTAACATTGTTGATGACAAGGGTGGTGTAACTGACATTGTTGATGACAAGGGTGGTGTAAATGACATTGTTGATGACAAGGGTGGTGTATTTAACATTGTTGATGACAAGGGTGGTGTATTTAACATTGTGGATGACAAGGGTGGTGTAATTGACATTGTTGATGACAAGGGTGGTGTAACTTATATTGTTGATGACAAGGGTGGTGTAACTGACATTGTTGATGACAAGGGTGGTGTAATTGACATTGTTGATGACATGGGTGGTGTAATTGACATTGTTGATGACATGGGTGGTGTAATTGACATTGTTGATGACATGGGTGGTGTAATTGACATTGTTGATGATATGGGTGGTGTAATTGACATTGTTGATGACATGGGTGGTGTAATTGACATTGTTGATGACATGGGTGGTGTAATTGACATTGTTTATGACAAGGGTGGTGTATTTAACATCGATGATGAAAAGGATGAAGTATATATCATAGTTAACTATACGGATGATATATTTAACGTTGCTGATAAGGACAATTTTTTTAACACTGCTGATGACGAGGTTGATGTGTTTAACATTGGCGATGAGAAAGATGATGTATTTAGCCTTGTTGATAAGGATGGTGTGTTTAACGTTGTTAATGATATGGGGATGCAAATGCTATTAACCATTTCTTGTTTTGCTGGGAGAGAGACATGTGGGTGTCTAAGCAGTGTAGCTAGCTGGTAGTTGATAGCCTTTACCTTCTGGGTTCCTAGAATCTCTTTGAGTTACAGTCCTTGTAATTTTTGTGAACAATCTCTTTTGTCAATGATGTTGCTAATGGCTGACCGCTAACTTAATCCATAAATATCAATTCAGTTTTAGAGTTGGTTTTCTCTCTGTTATCTCTCAACGTCCACAGTCAATTCTCCATGAGCTTTTCCGTGGAGTCTGCTATTTCTCAAAGACCACAATCAATTCGTGAGCAATCTTGTTGTGTTTACTATTTTCTACAGACCACAATTAATTCTCTGTGAGCCTTCCTGTTGTGTCTGCAATTTCCCAAAGACAACAATCAATTTTCAACAAATCTGCATGTTGCGTCTGCTATTTACCAAAGACCACAATCAATTATCTATGAGCCTTTCTGTTGTGTCTGCTATTTCCCAAAGACCACAATCGATTCTCCATGAGTCTTCATGTTGTGTCTGCTATTTTCCAACGACCACAATCAATTATCTGTGAGCCCTTTGGTTGTGATGTGTCTGCTATGTCACAAAGAACGCAATCAATTCTCCATGAGTCTTCCTGTTGTGTATTCTATTTCATAAAGACCACAATTGATTCTCATTGAGCCTTCCTCTTGTATCTGTTATTTCCCAAAGACCACAATTAATTTTCCATAATTATTTATGTTGTGTCTGCTTTTTCAAGACCACAATCAATTCTCCATGAGTCTTCCTGTTGTGTCTGCTATTTCACAGGGACTACAATCAATTCTCCATGAGCCCTCCTGTTGTGTCTGCTATTTCCCAGGGACTACAATCAATTCTCCATGAGCCTTCCTGTTGTGTTTGCTATTTCCCAGGGACTACAATCAATTCTCCATGAGCCTTCCTGTTGTGTCTGCTATTTCCCAGAGACTACAATCAATTCTCCATGAGCCCTCCTGTTGTGTCTGCTATTTCCCATGGACTACAATCAATTCTCCAAAAGCCCTCTTGTTGTGTTTGCTATTTCCCAGGGACTACAATCAATTCTCCATGAGCCCTCCTGTTGTGTTTGCTATTTCCCAGGGACTATAATCAATTCTCCAATAGCCCTCCCACGAGTCTCGTAAACTCCGGTGGAAAGTTATTATTGTTTGTCCTCTTCTGGACTTTAGTCGCAATTCTAGAAATTGAGCTTTACGTGCACACCCGTTTTACATACCAGGTATTTCTTTATGTAAACTGTTGGTTCGTTGCCTCTCAGGCAGCTGCACTTCGGTTATTAAATCCTAATTTTTCGACTCATACGTGGTAGGAGGGGGGGGGGGGGGGGGCTAAGGGTCTATTTTTGTTTCCCCTCTCCTACAACAGGTCCTGAAACCAACACAGGCACAGTTTTTTTAATAAAGTGATATGATGTCGGACTCATATTTCATAGACTAGTCGGCTGTAGGTAGGTAATATTGTTAAACTATCACCGGCTGTGTTTACTTCCCAGGACAATTCCTGTCAGTGATATTAAGCTGGATGTCTTATTTTAGAACAATCAACATTGATGCTGATTTGAACCCAATATATTATGATAGTGTCAGACATGAAGATTATCTTAGGCCATCTAGGAAAAAAGTCACCAGTTGCGAGATGAGATGCCTGAGAGAAGCCGTCAACATAACCATCGAAGATCCAGTGAAGAAAATGATACTATCGGCCAGACTGTGAACGACACCTTGTTCAAGAGTTGAGTTGAGTTGAATTAGGTCAAGAATTTACATCACAGCACTCAGGTCATTACCATGCGTGCTCCGTCCTTATCTTCAGCAGCCAGCGCAAAGTTCCAGTACTGACGGTACCGGCCATATTCTGGTTATATGTCCATCTTGCCTTTCCTCTGGGTGTAGTGAGCCGGCCAGACCCTCTGGTTACACCCACGTACCTCATTCTCTCCAGGCCACAACAATCTTGTTTCTATACTGATTCTTTTGCTTGTTCCAAAAGGGCCTTGATCACGTCTGCCCCGTCATGCATCAACCCACCACCCAGTGGTGCAGAACCTCGCAATTGGCGGGATTATTTATTGTTGCACTCATTATAAATCGATCACTCGCAGCACTAAACAAGATTTCGGCAGTTAAAAAAAATAGCACACAGCTAGCTAATGAATCTCATAAACATACTGCATATACACATTTACGTTTTCCATTGGTGTTTATCGGAGGGGTTAAAACGGGACTTATTAAAAAAAAAAAAAAACCTACGAAACTGTTGAACACCATCTCTTTGAGTGCCCAAAACTCAGTGAGACAAGAAGAACGCTACTCCCTCCGAGCCCAGACAAGTGGAACACCTTGTACGGAGGAAAAGAACAGCTTGTGAAAACATGCAAAACATGCAAATTCCACTACATGGCATTGGGCCAAAGGGCGAAAGCTCATGCGCCGCTGGATCGATAACAACAACAACGTGCCTCGTATATTGTTTGTTTTACATTAACATCTCATTTATTTCCTTTTCCCAGCCAAGCTAGCATCTGGAACAGGCTGCAATAAAGGTAAGTACATCCACATCTTTGCCTGTGATGTTCTGTGAACTTCAAACAGTACCTGCGAACCTGAATTGGAAGTGTGTTTTTGAAAACAAAAGTGATCTGTGAATATCATGACATCACTCCAGGCACATCCATAGATGCTCTGATCTCGTCCTTAACAACTCCACAAACTCAAAACATCTGATAATACTCATTCTGTGTTGACTAATCAGACGTCTTGTGCCCTAAGTAAAATGTGGTTCTTTTCTTTTATTTCATCCCATCTCGTGAGCAGTTCCCGGGAAGTCCAATAGTATAGGGGAGTTAGGGTGTGAAGTGAACATCCACTAACATTACCCCCCCCCCCCTTTTTTCCCCCGACCCATATATAATAATGGACCTTCCTATGAGCTACCCACGAAATCTCGGAGTTCCCGAGATGGGGGGAAAAAAAGAATAAAGAGAAGAGTACCGTATATTTTTTGGTGGCTTTCCCAAATTGTGTTTTTCACTCCATATCTAGTACATGTAAAAAAAAAAATATCTTTTTAAACTATAAGAAAAACACAGAAGGTTACTTATCTAGTGACATGGCTGTCAGATGAAAGATTTATCACAGAGAAAAGAAGTTGAATGAGTGGGACAAAATCTGCATGTTAAAGAGTATGGAATATCTACGCAAGCCAACAATGATATGCGTCCAAATTTGGAACCTGATTTGCTTTACTTTAAAGCCCTGCTCCGGCTGAAGTGGGGGAGACATAATCTAACATAAATGTCTAACGGGATTTCTGGGCTTTCTGCATGGGGGATGCTCATCGGAATGGTGGCACTTCGTCACCGGGTGTCAGTCGCTGGTTGTGTGGTCCTGGTGGGGTTGAGCATTGCACAGTCTCATGAAAGTAATACTGGCCGAAGAGCAGCAAGCAAAACTAAGACGAGTTGGTCGGTACCGAGATAGTTTAATCCCCTGAAGCAGGACAACACAATATCTCCCTCAAACTATCCCTCTACCTCAGTGGTTCTCAACCTTCATAATGCCGAGACCCTTTAAAGTAGCTCTCTCATGTTGTGGCGACCCCTGAACAATTATTTTCCTTCATAACGTCGACGTGTATGTGTTTTTTGATGGTCTTAGGCGAACCTTGTGAAAAGGTCGCTCGACCCACACACAAAAAAGGGTCGCGACTGGCAGGTTGCCAACCGCTGCTCTACCTTTTCCCCCACACGTCCCGTCCCAATAACCTCGCCCATTTTCACACTATACCTGGTGGGTTGATCAAACTTTTTTTAAATGGCGTCTAATAATTGTTTGAAATTCTTTTGAAAGAGGAGAGTTGGGAGGCAGGAGAATCCTAAGCCTCAGTCGTACAAGTCAGATGTGTCGGTCCAAGGTCGCGAATATAACAGCTGGTACAAATAGGCATGACGCAATTACGTATAAAACACACACTCACACATACATACACACAATACACACACATACACACACATACGCACACACATACACTTATATATATATGTGTGTATGTATTTTTATCTTTTAAATATCCAGAAACATGAGTTGTTAACCCTTTGGCTCGGTATTATGGATATCGCAACCCTTCGGCCTTGATTCCATGATAGATAACGTATATATGGGAGA